GGGTTTAAGGGGTTAAAACAGTAATTCTGGCTTGCCAGACAGCATTAGCAGAGCTCCTCCTGAACCTCCAATGCCTTACACTGTCCATTCATATGATGTTCAGGCTGCACTTCTTCTCCCATCCTGAAAGAAATGGTTTCTTGCTAGCTACTGACCTAGTCCTTTTAAACCTCTTTCTTTTTCCTTGACGCTAGACTAAGTATGAGAAAAAGTAGAGGTTTAAAACTTTGCTGAATGAATTTACTTAGTATGATTACTTTAACAATTCAAAAACCCATCTAAAATATCCTAATATTTACTTACTAATAATACTTCACTTGTTACCTTTGACATTTAGTTTAAGGGAACTGCTTACTAATGAAAGGACAGGGCTTTCATTTACTGGAATAGATCAACATTTCTTAACAATTTTATCTGTCTAAATATTTACATAAATGGAGGCTAACCCTTATTGAACTCAATCCCTATCACACTGTAAAACATCAAAATGTCAAAAGAAGAAAAAAATTGTAAGAATGAAGTATATATTTAGTTCGAGGCCTCTAAGACAACTTCTTATCAGCTAATACTGTACCAACATGTTTARCTTAAAGCTGTGATTTCTTCAGGAACTTTTAAACTTGTAACCTTCTAGCAGTGGGTAGGGAGCAGGGAGGAACATGTAATATCAGTGTCTTAATTAAAATTTAAAATAATGAGAGATAATCTATTGTGGAATACCATAAGTTATTAATAGAAAAACAGATCCCAAATATCACTTAAGCCAGCTTGAGGGAAGCAGACCAAGTTTCCTGTACTGAAACCTAGCTTTTGATGCTGTAGCTGATTCCACATATTCCACTATATATATTCCACTCAGSTCTCCTCTTGCACCCAGGCAGCTGTAAGATGGTATCTCACATATATGCTCTTGCTAGAGAATGTTGGCTAACAATTAACTCCCTGCCACCAGGGAAGAATTCCCCCTCTTAGAACAGATTGTTCTGTGATCGTTTTACCCTTCATGACATTTCACTTAAAGTATGTGAGTGACAAACACAGATTATTTCATAAGGCCAGAATCAGAGAGCAATTTATAATGAAGAGGTTCTGATTAATTAAAGACTTATTCAACAAACTAAACTACTTTAAAAAGCAGTTATTCCTTCACTTTTGAAATGCAGAAGGTAAAAAAAAAAAAAAAAGATTAACAGACACTAGAGTTATCTTACTGAAACTTTGCACCCATTCCTTACCAACTTTTTTGCCTGTACAGAAACAGCCATATCTATTAAGATTACTTAATTATCATCAGATGATAAAATTTATTGTAAGCCTGTGATAATCTTGGACATCTTTCCAGAAATTAAAATCTGTGGGTGCCTGTGAGTAAGCAATGGCTGTTTTGAGGAGACAGACCATGGCCCATATTGGTGTAGATTATGTGTATCCTCTGTGTAGCAATAATAAATAAGGGGTGCTGCAGGGATGAAATAAGAGCTGAAGGTGACTGCTGTTCAGTGGCAACTGTTTATGGTCAAGCTGTGAACATTTTCCGAGCTGAAACTGATGGTTTGTGCTGAGGCACAGTTTGGTGTTTGGTGCAGATGTTCTCTTGGGTGTCTGCAGTACCATTCATTCTGAGAGCTGTCAGAATGGGGAGAAAGAAGTCCTTGAACACAAGTAGATCTCAGTCAAGACACGTGTCCCTTGGACTATGAAACAAGCACAGAACCAAGGTATCTCATTCATTGTGACTGCTGCAAATTGGATCTTTAGTCAAAAATTCCTGGGTGTTTTTAGTGTATTGACAGCTCCAGATGCCAGTTAGAAATGCTGATTTATCTTTCAGTCAAACCAGATCTACTCCTTCTTGCAATTCCCACCTGCCCCAAGAATGTTCCTAGAAATCCCTAGGCCGAGTTTTCCCTCTGGCAAGGCAGGAGGTTTCTTTCCTCTTGGGGAACAGAGAAATTAATCCATTGGTGAGATCTATCTAGCTTTAGCTCCTGATCCTCACCTTGCCTGTGGTAATGTCTGTCTAATGCAGGAAGGAAATTACCTCCAGTTGTGCCAGGGGTGGTTTAGGTTAGATATTAGAAAACTTTCTTCATCAACAGGCTTGTCACGCATTGGAACAGGCTACCCAGGGAAGTGGTGGAGTCACCATCCCTGGAGGTGTGTAGATGTGGCACWTAGGGGCATGGTTGGACTTGGCAGTGCTGGGTTAACTGCTGGAATCAATGATCTACTTTTCTTCCCCCTCTCTCTTTCTGTGCTAGGTTTTCCATCCACACTTTTGATGGCAAACTACTTTGTTGCCAGGATTTTCTTGCATTTCCATGACTGGGGCCATGGAGCTACCTTGTCAGTGAAAGTGTGGAATGGAAATTATTTCAGTGGAAAAAAGACAGAGTAGCAGGAGCAGGAGCAAATGAGCTGTGGCAAACACCCCCATTCTTTCATGGAGTGTGAAGTTTATGAAGTGGTATTTTCTAGACAGAGAGATTTCTAGCTCTGAATGTTATCTATATCCCTGGTTTTGTTGCTGAACATGTATTTGSATTGGTAATGGCATAGATGCACTGTAGAATGGATGCTCTTTTGTAGTTACAGAAGGGATGTTGCTACTGTTGTCTAAAGAAGGTTCAGGATGTCAGATCTTTTTTTTTTTAAATTTTAAAAATTATAGAATGTAATGCTATTTTAGAAAAAAAAAAAAAAATTCCATTTGGAATGTTTGAAAACATTCAATCCAATCTGTGTTTGAATATTTTCTCATTCTCTTCTCTTTCTGTTGTGTATATTTAATCTCTTGAAACACTAGAGAAGATATATTTGATTTGCTCCAATTCCTTTCTCTTCAGTTCTCATTTGTACATGAACCACAACAAATATGAACACCTGGCTTTAACCAGTCGTGCCACATGTCATTGCCACAGGCAACATCTCCTCTTCTGATATGTGGATTCTTTCTTTGCTGTATCCAATAATGTCTTGGATGTATTGATTAGTGGGTAAAGTGCTACTTTGGCATTTGCCTATTTATTATTGTAAGGAAAGGAAAAATGTTTTAATGAAACAAATTTGTTGGTGAATTGGGACATTAAATTCCATTTCCTTTATGCTAAGCTCTTTGTTGTCTGACAAATAACATCTACACAGAGGAAAACGCTTTTTGGGAAAGAACCTTTATAGAAAGTTAGTCTCTAGGGACTTCTGAAAAACAATTACTCTGTGCCACCAACCATATYGGACAAATGCTGCAGGAGGCTGAAAAACAAAAAAGAGATTTCAGATCTTTGGAACTTGCCAAGAAACAGAAAGCTCCATGAGACATAACATGACCTTTATGGGACTTCTTGGCTCCACTTCTGCTTTTTCACCTGGTATGGGACAAAACCCATCACTGGCCTCAGGATGACCAAAAAAATTGKTTTTTTGGCATGTGTTTTCTAGGCACCACTGGAGTGGACACAGTGAAAAGTGTCAGATGGGCTGTTTGGCATGCTCAGTTGAAGAGACCACCTGTCTCCTCAGGGCAGGTTTGTTTTGGAAGAATTATCTTACTTGAAAGTACATTGCTGGTTTTGCTAAGCATGAATTTGTCAAACAGAAATCTCATTGTTTACAGAAGTGGGATTGTTTTCAGAGAATCAGAAATGAGAGAGCCTTAGTCTTAAATGTATTTCTCATATGGCTGGTGCCTGCTGGAATGAGCTGTAGGAATAAATCATTGAAAACAGTAGCCTCTTTGGAGTTACTGTCCAGTGGCACTAAATGCATCATTGTCCCATTGTTCTCTTCAGAAATCTATGATACCATGCATGTTTGGCTGGCTACCAGGAGAATTTGCAAGAGACAGGACACATAAAATAATTGTTTATTAATAATATTTTCATGAGAAGTACAGAGAACATAYAGAGAATTTGATTTTCCCTGAGAAAAACTTGAGGATGAATATATACTTTAAAGTATTAATTTTTCCTCTTAAAATGAGGCAAAGTGAAGGAATTTACTCTTGGTAGTTTTAGGGCCAGCAGCTTTAACCTGCTCATAGAAAGGACTGTGTTTGCTCCCCAGTGCCTCTCTTTGCTCAAGTAGKAGGCACAACCTCTGTCTCTGCACAATTCAGTTTTGCTCAGACAGTGGAAATATATGGGGAATGATGGAGATCATGGACTCATCATGAGTGATGCCATCAGCTGTCTCCTCTGACTCAAATTTGTCTCAATACCACTGCCAGATCAACTCATGCCCACCGGATATGTTTAGAAAGATAAACCGGGGAATGATCATGCTTCCAGTGTAGGTGAGATGTTGAAATAGAACAGCCTCGATCCATTCCAATTCATTTTTTTCCTCTACACTGTAAATGAAGATGTAGTAGTTCAAGATCCCCTTTCCGTCAGGGGCAAGAGATCAGCATTTTCAGATACAGTGCAGCCCACTCAGGACATGGTTACTATCTACAGGCACCAATTTCTTCCTCCTGTGCACAAATGGTGCATGAGTCTAATAGGTTTAAACTTAAAGTCTCAGTTTCTTGTCTAAAGCTTTATGGGATGTGCCCAAATCAAAATAATGCCATTTTCAGAGATGATTGTTGCAGATCCAGGAATTAACTTTAACATCCTCACATCTCTGTGATGCTGTARTTTATAGCATATTCTGCTTCAGTACTCAGTATAATGCTCAGTCCCCCTAAAGAGTGCAATGATAACTGAAAGACTTAGAAATCAAGTTTATGTCTTGGAATGACATCTGGGCTCTTTGGATGGAATGAACAAGGAGGCTGAGAATGTAATAAAATTGTACATGTGCAGGAGAAGTGTTATAATGAGCAACAAGGTTCTATCACCCTCTGGTCCCGATCAGAGTAGTAACAAGCATCTCACATCTCTGTGCTGATGGTCAAGCTGGAATTCACATTTTAATACAGCCCATGTTTGGAGAGTTTCACAAAGAATTGTTAATGAGTAATCCTTGTCCATTAGGGCACTAAGCCAACAGTCCCAAGCTTTGATTCATTGTGTTATCACTACAGGCTTCTGCTAAACATGAAAGAAAAACAAAACAAAAATGTTCCTATGTGAGAATCATTAGGATACTGAACTGAGTGCAGAACTGTCTTACATCCTGTCGTCTTCAGTCTTCCAGAAAAGAACAGTAAGTAATAATTCTTTAAACCGATAGCTCTTGCTGTTGTGTTGTATAAAAGTAACTTTATCACCTGAATTATTTAGTGGATGTTAATAGATTTTTGATCAGAAGAAAAAAATTAAAATGAAGAATAATATAAAAAGTAATTTCATCCACAAAACTGTCTGAACAGTAGGAAATCCCCTTGGGAAAAATGGTTAGGTGAAAAATAAGGTCATGTTGAAATTTGTCTTTAGAAAGCTGGCTTCTGTGCGTCACTGGAACAAAAGGCGTTAAGTTTGATATTGAGACTTGCTTGCAACAGCACTATCTAGTTAATTGTGTGCATTAGCTTTAAAATGATACTTGTTTCTTGTTTTTTTTATCCTTTTAGAAACAGCAAATGTTTTCAATGTGATTAATGGGAGAACAGAGAACAATCTAGAAAGGGAAAATTATATTTGTTTCATACAGTTTTTTCTTTGACAGTTCTGCGTACAGATTCTAAGTGCATCTTCTAAACTTGAAGACTTTAGCACATATTTCACATAACTAGGAAAAGTAAAAGGGGGCTTAAAATTTCAAGTTATTACTATTTGAATCCATTCCTAATTTTTAAGAAAATGTAATTTGTTCTGAGTGTTCCTGCTACTCATTTATCTTCAGAAAATTATAATTGTGGTGGAACACATTTTGCGTTTTTTTTAATTGCTATTGCTTCTGTTCCAGAGAACCTAGAGATTGGGAATTAAATTGAAATTCCACTAGTCTAAATGGCAGTCAAAACCAGGTTAGAAATGGAGGACTTGCAGTTTAATCAGGTGAGATATGAAAAAGTTGCTGGAGCAAGCAACACACATAGGGACAGTCAGAAGCTGGCCCCACTCTTTGAAGTTACATACCTRCTTACAGAAATGCCATTGACACCTCCCATAGATTTTCAGTTCTACTTATGACTCAAATACCTGTTTTTGCTTCAGAAATTAAGCAGTAAGAATATTCTATATTTTTTTCTTTTCTGTGTCCTGTGTCTCTTCCCYGATCCAATTTTAAACTCCCTCTTATGAAATCTAACGGAAAATTCAAATAAACACAGTAACACTAGTCCTGCYTCTGGTTCTCAAATCTGCTTGTGTGGTTGCTTGCCTTTTGGACCAGGTGCTGTGTAGTTGCCTGTAGTGCTGTGCTTGCTAAAATGACCTGAGAGCAACAGGCTGGAAACAGAGCATAAATCTTCCTAATGCTTTCAGGTCTCTTTGATACACTTTAAAACAAACTGGTAAGCAAATAAAATAGCTTCGCAAATAACTGAGGCACTGCATTAATTCTGCAAAAAGGCTATGAGGCCACATCAAAAGCCTGTGAACGAGATGGGAAWCTATCTTCCCATTGATGTTAACAGTGTTTGGATTGGGCCATAGATTAAKGATGTTATTGAAGTTTCTCTTTGAGCAATAGGCAGTCAGATGTGTGATGAATAGGGAAATATTATGGGACAGATGGAAGGAAATGTATTTCWCTAATATTTGTGAAAAATTTTGCAAGTGCTTTGATATATCTTCCTTTGCTGAGTAATTGAAATAGATTCAATCATTCTTCTGCAGGTAAACCACAATTAGACTGTCATGGAGCTTTTCTGATGATCAAACATATTTTTACATTACTTGAAAGAGTGGGGCCATAATGCATTTGTTTTCAGTTAGCTCGGTTGATTTAGCTTTAATTATTTCACTGAGAGACTTGGCTTTGCTTACACAGAAGCCAGAAAAAACTTTGCTGTTGACCACAGCAAGGTCATAGATAGCACATGGATAAAAGTCCACAACRAATTTGAAACCTAGAGCACAGTGCATGTGTGAATGCATATGTATTTGTATGCCTTAGTGAACCYATATCCCTTAACAAATCTGAATAAACATGTATATGCACCCATACAGTAGAAAAAGAAGCCCCATGTATAATAATATACATGTCAATTTTCTTAGTTAAACAAAGAACATGTAAACACACATTGATTAACTCTTCTGTAAGATTTTAAAGGTTACAGGTAATAAATTTTATGAAATTCAGAGCTCTTAATATGCAATTGAAGACAATAATCTCAAGCAGTTGGGCACTTATTTTATACATACTGATCTCTGCTTTTCTTTGCTGTATAATTTTGGCCYATGAAAATCATCTCCAAAGGTGGTAGAGTAAGCATTTTTATTTAAAAAATTAACTAAAATAATTATTTGGAAAAATAAGCTTTCTAATTTATCCCATATTTCTTCTCTTGAGGAGCTCTTATTTTAGAAAGCATTATTAGTTTCCTGTTCTTCTATTGCCTTTATTTCAGCTTTTACATACTGTACACTTTTTATTTTTATTGTTACACCTCAGGATGGAGTATCAATCCGATATAGTGACCTATATTACTTCCCAGAACTGAACAATGTGTGGAGTAAGCATTGCTTAATTAAATGCTCTATACTATGTACCTAGTGCAGGTCTTAGAGTTGGAAATCAGAAACTGCTGATTTTAAATGCATGTGAAATTAATTATATGGATAAATCTAATATAGGTTAGATAGCTCACAGCAGGCTGGACTCAGAAGCAAATCAAAGCCAAATGTCAATCAGTGTTTAATGAAGAATTTGGTGTTCAGTGAAATTCACAGCAGTAAAGCTACATGCAATGGAAAGCATATTTCCAGTCTTTTTTTATGGGGCCTTGTAGAAATAGCAAGAAGATGGGAGTAATCTCTTCCATGAAATTTAGTAAATGGTCTATATCAGCTTGATATATTAAAGAAAATGAAGTATTAACATGGTAAGAACTGTAAAATCATCATGAACATTTGTCTTTAACCGAATCCATCCAGGCCAAAAATATGTGGCAGGAGGCCTAGAGCTACAAAACCTGTGATGTCCTAGAGTAGTGCAGATTATTACAAATATGTGCTCAAGGTTGTTACTATAAACAAGACAGTATTAATAACATGAGAGTTGGGTCTTATTGTGTGGGTATGTAAAGAATAATAGATTCTAASGAGTCCATCTTGAGCTTAAAGAGGCATTACAATGATATGTTAAAAATGGAACAGCCTCAATGAAATGCGAAGGAAGTTTATAGACATATCAAAGGGGCTGTAAAAACAGACACTTTACAAGCATTTGAAAGCGTGGCTTGCCTGCTTTCTTCTTTATTTGCAGCACGAATTATTAGGATGCAGGATATATACCTTATAGGCTAAGAAGTTATGCATTCAAAATCAGACCAAATCTGAGTGCAAAATAGTTTGTATAGATATAAAATACCAAATGAGAGCAAATACTTTGTATAGATATCTTCTTGGTAYTGTATTTAAAGTATTTTGATATAATTTCCAACATTTCCTAAAAAAAATAAATTCTAGGCTCTGCATGAACATGCAGAAATTCACAATCCCAATGCTGCTGTTAGGTGTTGCAGACCCTCAAACAGGGKCTGAGGAGGAAACATGAGAAGTAGTATTAGTGGTGGAACAGAGTCTTCAGGTCTGACTGCAAGGAGAATTGATCCTGCAAGGAACTCTAAGGGCTGCACTCTCATGGGCTGGAAGGAGGATGTTAAAGGGCTTGGACATGAGGTGAAGGTGCTGATGGCTTCTCTTCTCTGGTCTTCAACGAGAAAATCCAGAGAAACATTCAGTAGCCCCTCTGAAAACACCTCAATTTGATGTTTCTCTTGCTGGCCATTGTAAGGATCCTGATTGTGCTGCTGTCTTCTCCCATCACAGGACACTTGGAATGGGCTGTCAGAAGAATCCCATCCCTAGGGTTTGTCATGGGTATTTAATGAGAAAATTGTCTGCCAGAAGTTTTAAGATCTTAGAACCATGYGGGTAGCCCCAGCTCTTGATTTCAGCAGATAACTTCCCTGGCAAATGAGGCAGCAAGGCAGTAAAATGGTTGGAAGAAAATGTGGACGGAGTGGGGTTGCTGGGCTGGCTGCTAAACCCCATCCAAGACACATGGAGTTTCTCTGCTGTTGCAAATCTGTGTTTCTGTGCTTGATTTGAGACTCTGTGTTTACATGTCACTTGCCACAAGAACCCATCTGGTCTGTGATACAAGYAGCTTTTGACATTTCTAAGTAAACTGTTTAAATTATTTGTGGGCAGACGTTTAAAATGCATCTGTMTAATTAAAGGGCCTCTGTTAAGAAAGAACTTAATGAATCCTTATGGGCAAATCTGAATATAATTACAGAGTGTGCTTGCCACTCTCACAAGCTACTTCCCAGTCTGCTCAGCACTGRGGCCTCCTGCAGCATTCACGTTTTTGTCAGATGACTTAATTTCTGCTCCAGAAACATGCCGAGCACTCACTGGGAAGCAGACTGGGCTGTGACTCTCAAATGCCTTCAGTGAGTGGAAATGCAGTCCCAGGGACAGTCCCACGGTAATAAAACCAAATGAAGATTTAAGACTATAGAACAAAGGAAAACAGATTGCTGTCAACTTTGTGCAGAATCATCTTGGTGTCTGTGTAAGCCCTTGAGACATCTCCTTGTGTAAGCTCTATGTTCTGTTTGCTGATGGTTCTGCCTCAATGCAGTCTGGAGCTGCCCCACTCCACTCACATGAGCTGGGCAAGGGACCCCCTTTCACACCTCTTCAGCCTCCCCAGGGGAGAGTCATGTGGCTGCTTGAGACACAGAGAGAGTGGATGGCTGAGCCTGGTTATCAGAACAAGGCTTGGCTTGCCCTGTTTGCCACCATTTATCTTGTTCAGTAATTACTGAAGGCRAGATAAAGAGCCGGTTCTTGGAAATTAAACTCAGGTTTCCTGCCTGTGTTCTTCTGATCTGACCATAAACTTACACTTTTTCTGTAAGTGAAAGCAATGCAATGATGAAAGGATGGTGAAAAGATAATGCAAACAATTGGTATTGCATGGAAATSGGGCTGGGCAGCATGCCCTCAGGAGGTCAGGACAGCACTTCAGTCTGAATGTTTGAATAAATTTGGGCATAAACCGCCATTAATTTAAAATGAATAGAAAGATGGCAATTATAATATGCGACAGCAAGGGGAAAACAAACAGGCTAGACGTAGCATTTTATTTAAAAGCTGAATTAGGTATTGTAACTTCAAGGCAGCTTTTGTTAGAGCAAATATTGAAACAACCTCCTGCATCCTGCCTTACACTAGGTACACAAAAGTTGGTTAACTTGTTTCAAATATTCTTTTTGCTTAATGTGTTTCAGGGTCTCTTTTMAACCTCCTTTTTAATCAGCATATTCCTCCTGAACTGAAGAATAAATGGGATCGGAAATGAATTTAATAGGACATCATCAGCTAGCCGCTGCTGGTGGATTTCCTCTCCCTGAAGGTCCTCATTTGTTTGGTAAGTCACCAAAACAGGTTGAAATGGCAAGCTGTCCTTTACTCAGAAACCTAGAAGAAAATGCACTGAAGTTTCAAATCAAGGACATGTGGCTGGAATGTGCCAAACTTCTTGAATCTTCAATACTTAATGAAGGGAACAACAAACAATAGATCTGTGGTGTTAACGTAATCCTGCACACTATTGCTCTCATTATTGCTCATAGCAGAACCTGTAGGTTGTTTTTGTAACACTCTTCTAATACTGGAGGCCAATTGGCAAAGACAGACCTTTTTATATAGGCTGGATGCTATCTTCATGAAARTCATTTAAATCAAGTTGAGTAGATATATTTGCAGTTAATTTGTAACAAAATTATAGTGCAATGTATTTGCATTGCCATATTATGCAAATTAGTGTATTATGCAAAGTAATTTCACMTAAATTAAAATCTTTCTCTTATTAAAAGCATTAAAAACTTATTAACTTCAGTGCATAAAAAGATTTATAAAACAGGCTGAAGATTATTCTTGCTCCAGTTCCACTGAATTTTTCAAGGCTAGGCATAGGTTTGTTAATGAGTGAAAAATTCTTGGTCAATATTTTATAAGCATGGGTAAGCTCATGCACTCTTAAGAAAAAAAAAGGGAATAAATTTTTTTTAGGCTTTCATTTGASAGCAGAGTGGGTTCTTGATTGAGTAACATGATAATGTGATTGAGGGTCTCACACACAATACAGACTGTCACAAAATCCACTTCAGAAGTTTGCAGTTCAAATAAGACCAGAATTCTGCCTTTTTGAGTGCTGGAAAAACTGCACACACTCCAGTTTCATCTGTCTGAAACAAGAATAGTGCCTGGGGCATTCAAGGAAGGACTGACACACAGAGCCCCTCCAGCTGTAGAGCTCCTACAARTCAGGAACATCTCTACAACTCAGACCACTTGCAGTGTGCTGGCTCTATACAGCTAAACTAAAGCATGATCACTAATGATAAGCAGAACCCATTCCACTATTTTGTGCTACTGGGTTTTATCCCTCTTTGTGTTGCGGTTTGGTGGGCAAAGTATTTTGGAGTTGTTAAAAAAGTACATGCAAACAGCTAAAYTACTTCTGTGCTACCTTTTAATTCCGGTATTATGATACACAGAGAGGAGAATGATGCTCAAATCCAGGCTGCCAAATTTTATACCCAGTCATCTTTTAAAATTCCTGCATATCTGGGCTACTTCAGATTTTTTGCAAGGAATTTCCCTCAGTATCTACTTTTTCATAAATTATTTCATTATTTTTAAAGAGTAAGCTTGAAAATACAAGGAAGAATATTAATGTAAAACATTTTCCCTCCAAAGGGAAATCTTATAAATGCTGAAGCTTTCAGAAGAGGAATTGTGGCTCTCATTTATAGGTGTTCAGAGCTTAGCAAAATGGAGATTTAATTCAAACTGACATTTCYGTAACAGAAAGAAATAATGTATTAAGGAGTTGAATCAGGGGTTGGTCCCATTAGGAAGGAAACTTATYCCTCCTGCTGTGTTTCACTTAAGCTGACTTTTGTTTTGTGGGTGTCACTCTAATGTGGTGTGTTTTTTGYTTTTATAGCTTGAAAAAAGCTTGTCAGAAATAATATGCAAYTGAGTCCACRGCGAAAGTTATTCATTKTGAAAATATGACTCCATGTCTTYSAAACACTCRTAGGARATGGTTTTGCCTCWCAATATTTTATCTTTGTAAATTAMTTGCATTTTTTTGACATTCAGTTTTGGCAGAAAGTGACTTTTGTACTCCAGAAAACAGGAAGAAAGCTTTTCTTTTAGATGGTTCTTATAATGCATGTTTCTTTTAGGTCTTCTCATACATTGAAGCTCACAAGTTAAAAATTGCTGTGTTACAAATATTAGCCTTTATACAAGCCAGTCTCCTTTATTCAAAGATGTGCACTTGCATTCTGTAAAAAAACCCTTGGAAATACATTTTCTTTTCATTATGCTTTATACAGTCTACAGGGAAAGCGTTCTTAGATGTTCAAAAACAAATCTAATTGCATCTCACAACATTAGCTTCAGGTTCAAGTCTTTAAAAAATGTTGCCAGTTCCGAGTTGCTTGTGCTTTGAACCTCATCACCATGGTAATTCCAGGGCACTKCTACATACTTGGCCTCAAGACTTCTAGTTGCAGTGGGCTTTAGAAGAAAGGTTTTCTACCTTTCAGGAGTTGAAAATTGTATGCTGCTATTTTAACATTATATATCTAAGGTAAAGCATCTCTGTRTGTCTTTGGAGMYMATGTGTTCTATCTATAGTTKTTAACTTCTGCAATTATGAGTCCAYGGGAAAAGGGACTCATAACTTGCCTCTATTGAAAAATTGCCTTAAAATGCAAATGAGGAATGATCTTTAATTTAKTTAAAGTGAAGTTCTACCTTGTCTTCCTGCAAAACTGCTTTTCCTTTTCTAACTTCCTACTCAGGTGATTTAGGAGCATCCCAGATCTCTTTACAGAAAAGATATCTTTGAAGAAGCAGCCAAAACCAAATATATAAAATGATACAATTGATACAAATGATCTTGATACATGCAAGATCAACTTTAGCTTTCTTGGGGCTCTGGTTTTCCCACTGAGGGAAATGGACTCTKGATGACAAGAAATGCCAGAGGTGTGTAGGTCTCCATAGGACCTGTCCTGCTGAGGAGAGTCAGTCAAAMCCTGTTTTTATTTTACAAGTCTCATTGTACTGAACAGGGTCAGCTGTGTGAAGACCAGCCCAGTTTCATATCCTGATCTGAGAGAAAGCAGGACACCTATCAACCTTCATTTTTTAACCTCTGTAATTTAGAACTTGAATTATGATGTCCTTTAAAGAATTTGAAAGTTCACTTTAGAGTCATTAACTTATTYTGTGGACACTTCTACCATGAGTGACATGGACAGATCTGAGCTCCTCCACCTCACTCCAAACTGGTTGGACACAAGCTGTCACCTAGAACATGCTGAAGTGCATTAGCAGAGAATTCTTGGCCTTGCTCTAAGGCTTGGCAATTCAGCAAGACCATCGCAAAAAAGTATTTGATAACATCTTTCAATTGCCTTTGAAAGTTTTTCATATTAGAGACAATACATGTGTTAAATACCTAMATCTCTATCAGCTTATTTCTTCCCATGGACATCACCCATCTGTTATCACAAGGGACTGAACCAATTTTCAGACACAAAAAAAACTCTCCTTTGAATCTTATATGTGTGGGGGTAAGGTTATACATTTGTAWGGCACCTGAAATATATACAACCTCCCCCTCAAACTAATTTCTATGATAAGTAAGCAGCAGGCCTCTAAAGTACTAGCTCCATCCTATTTTCTGTGAAAGGCACCTTATACAGAAGTTAGTGGTATGCAAGATACTAAGTGTGAAACCTCAAATATCAGAAATGGAACTGTTTCTAAGAACCTGAAAAGATAATTCTGTACTATTACATGCTTATTTTGAATGAAGGCATATTTTAAATATTTTTGATTGCTTGAAAATGTTTTCTTCTAATGTGAAATGAAAATATAACAAGACAATAAATGTTACCCTCATTATAAATGTCCCCAGCTGGGAAATAAGTTTTGGTGGGGAATGAACACCCTTAAAAGCTGTGTTGAAAAGGATGAGGAARAATAAGAAAAAAATGACATGTAACAAAGGGAATAAAGAAAGAAATATGTCTAAACTTCTTAAAGGGCAACAAAATGCCATTGAAAATTGTTATAGGCATAGAACAGTGCCTAAGAAGACTTTAAAAAGCGAGTCCTTTTAGGCAAAGCTGCATTTTTTCTGGCTATGTTTTTTTTAAAATATATTTTATAATAATAATAAAACAGTAATAAAAAAGGTAATAGGGTCAAATGTCCAAACTGATTAAACAGCTTCAAGATCATAYGAGATGTTAAATAACTACTTGTCTGTAGCACCACCTGGCAGTTGATGCAACATCTGGCTTCTTCCCTGCAGAGAAGATAATTAGGCTCATAACTGGCCCCCAAATCAAACAAAACAAACCAACACAAATTAAAACAGAAAATCTGTTCTGGGATGCATTATAATTATGAAGAGAGTCAAATCAAACAGAGTGGCAATGTGAGTAAAAAAWTTAATGAGAAGGACAGATTGGATGGGACTTTGAGCAACCTGTTCAAGCGGAAGGCRTCCCTGCCTGTTTCAGGGGGTTTGGAACTAGATGATCTTTAAGGTCTTTTCCAATCCAAACCATTCTATCTTGTCAGTCCAGTCTGGTCTGAGCACTTTGGCCTTTTTTTGAGAATGTAACATTTCTGTGCTTAAAAAGCATACTTYCTGTGATACTGAAGTGGTTATTTAATTGCACAGAATCATCTGACCTTACCAAATATTTATTGATAAAAAATTTTGTTGTAACTAAATCACAATTGGTACCAAAATAGAATGGCTAGGCTATTTGGAGGCATCACTTCAAATTTTATCCAGGTAAATCCACACAGGGAGCRGACATTGTTTCCGGCATTTACAAACAAGTTTCTCGTAATGAAGTTAATTAGTAAACTATATAACCTCTGCTCTGTGTCACTCCTTTCTAATCTTAAAGAAAGTTCCCACAGTAAAGAAGTCAACAGGATAGAGACAAAGCAGAATTAAGAATTAAGAATAAAGTTTTATGTATATATAGACTTTAGGAGGTRAAAAAGAATAAAGAGAGGGAAAGGAGGACTGGACACCTTAAGGAGAGTATTTTTCGTCAAGAAATGGTCAGACTGAACACAGCCTGAGGTAGGATGTTGCCGTACTCTTGCTTGGATTTTTTTGTTATCTGTTCTTACACTCTTCCTTGGAATTGTAGGATGCTAGCGGGTTTTTTAAACCAAGTGATCTTTAAAAGATATGCAAATAATTAATTTGGAACTAAATCAAGATTGTGAATGGCTATGCCCTGGTTTCCGAATTACCTATCTCTGRATATCATTACTTTTTATGTTCTTTCATGAATAACAAAGGAGAGACAGGGGTTCGTATTTTAGATCCACTTAGAATTTATTTCTCTTTGTTTAGTTTTATATTACTGGAACAATAACTTTTACATTAAAATGTGATCTCATAATTTCTATAATGTTCTGTGTAAAATCACCTTTAGTGATAGAAAAACTCAGCATAATTCTGCAAACTGAAATCAGTTTCTTTATTCCTGCAAGGAAAAATTATCTATTGTTTCTACAAGTCAAATATTTTTTTCAAGTTTGATGTAAAATATTCCGTGTAAAATTTAAAGTAACAAAAGTAAAACTCTCTAATAAATTTCAGTTGCAATTAGAAAAAGTAATTGTAAAACAAARATCACATGCATGTGAAGGTTTCACTTTGCTTTTAGGAAGCTTTGCATATTTTTGTAAAAGGTTTTCTTTGAAACACACTTATTTGCAAAACRCAAGATTTGCAAATCAAAAAAATCTGCAACTGTAAGTAACATAACATTTGTGTGTGCTTAAATAGTTTTTCCTTAAAAATAAAGGTATGCTTCCAAAAGAAAAAAAACAGATAAAAATTTCAAAACATTTAGGACCTSACAAATAAAATACTGGTGTAGTCCAGTGAGCTCATTCCTAATTTCATAGTATATATGCTTATACTACTGATTTGAGTTGCTTATACTACTGCAACTTCCATGATTTCACTGGGTTGCTCATGCTTTGGTTTCATGAGACCAGTCCATCCCAGACTTCTGCTAATATAYATGTCTGGTGAAAAGCTTATGCACATTCCGCTTGGGAAGATAAGATTACTTTTCTTTTGTGATAAGAAATTATTTTGTCTAGACTCTCATGTACAGGTACACAGGTACATCATGTTCAGGTCTATGTAAAAAAAAAAAGCAAGCCAAAGTAAAACAAAACCCCTCAAAATTTCAAACAAAAGTGGGAAAACGTGCATAGTTGCAAYGTAATGATCTCTAAAAATCAGACTGGTCTTTAAGCATTTCCTAGAGTTTTAGCTGTAAGTCTCTTTTATGTAAAACAAAACCATGTTTTCTCACTCTCTCTCAACCTCATCTGCTCTTCCTTTTCCCTTCCATTGATCTAAGCATGGATTCAGTTCAGCTAAATTGTCTAACTCTGTGTTGGATACAGAAGAAAAAAGGAGGTGATACAGACTGTTTGGCTTTCCCCCCATATTTATCTTCATGCATTAAGACTCATATTTTTTTGTTTCCTTTGGAAGCAAAGTAGAATTAATGATTGTGGTTTTAACCCAAATAGCTCTACAGTGGTTTAAACAAACATCCAGTATTGTTTCAGGATGYGCTGCAGCTCTGAGATTTTTAACCAGCCCTGAGATTTTTTTCATATGGAAGGAACATTGCCTTCCACTCTTGCACYTTCAGAGTCCCAAGCAGTTCAAGAGGCTGGTATACAGGGTTTGTGGAGTTTCCTGTGGATGGCAGAAAGCTAACAATCAACTGTTTCTTCCTTTTCCTTTTGGTATTGTCCCACTTTCCTTTTACAAAATCAATTAACTGGTTACTAACCAGMAAATGAAAACTTAGGTTTCCATGGTGAGCAGATTCCTTTCCAAAGAGAGACTAAATGATTGCATATCCCACAATTAACACCAGCTTTTGTACCTGACATACCTTGACCAGTCTTAATGAGCAGCAGTCTCAACAAATGGTAAATATAGCTAAGGACCTACGACTCATTAAACCTATACTGGATGTCAAATCATTTACTTGTTTTGTCACCACTGTGGCTGGCAGGTACCAGTGACAGTTTGCATCGATGCACGAAGCTGTAACCTCTCTTCCAGGCTTTCATGGAGTCCCCAGATGCCCTCTGTATATCTATACTGTTGTTTAAACAGCACAACCTTGGGTGTGGGGAGTGCCTTCTGCGTCTGCCAATGCAGCACTTGGTGCCCTGATCACTTCTGGAGCACCAAAATGCAACCATAATGAAATTCATTGCTAGTAATAAAYAGCACCATTATTCTCATTCAGTTTTGTGCCACGTTTTCCCAGACACACATCTTGCTGGTTATTCTGGAACCGGGACCTCAACAGCTGYTGTTGGCAAAGGCGTGCTGTGGCAAATAATAGAGTGACCATACAAATTCAAAACACTTGAATGGCTTCTGCAGCATGGTAAAGTGGGAAGGGCAGAAAGCTGCAGAGCAAGAGAATGAGACCTTGAAAGGAAAAAGTAGGTGAAATTAAAGSGTTACTTTCTGGCACTCACCGAAGTGGGACAGAGAGGGAAGGATCCCCCACTACAGATTTTAATTATTTTTGTCATTAGAGATGTTTCCTTTTCTCACTGTTAGCATTTCTTCATTGTTTCTGATTCCTCTCAAAAGAAGGACATGTGTCTRTGACCAATTTTATGTCAGCAAAAAATGGTTTTTGGAGTTCTTCTGAAGCATTGTTAAGTGATGGTCACCAATGAACATAAATCTATGATTTCCTTGTAAATACTGCTGTTGACTTAAATAAAAGTGGATGGGTCATCTTCCTGGAAATATGCACTATTTTTCTCAGACTCTCTTCTTGGAACTATTAAAGGAATTGAGTCAGTGTTTTCACGAAACAGCAAGAGGTGGCTCTCTCCAACAGAAAATAAGAAAAAGTTTGCAAAGAACTTTTAATTTCAGCTTTTCAGTTGTTTGAAATGGGCTTGATTTTAGCTACACCATCCAGGAACTGCTAGATRTTGTTGTGCCTGGAATACAGAAAAGAGATGAGAGTTCAGTTGTTCGCAGTTTTTAATACACCATTTAATGAGCAAGGTCAAGGCAACTGCCAGATACCGTGCTGATCCTGACAGGAAAGGTTGCCACTCCTTGTACCTCTGCCAGGTCTGTTGCTGGCTCTGAGGTGATTAATGCTGGTTTACAGAGGTGCTTCCCATGAGAACCCCACAGCTGCACCGAAAGGAACAGGCTTGTAGAGGCTGGGGAGCAGCCTGTAGAGGCTGACTGGCCACTGGAGGCTGGGCGGTGAAGGGGCTGCATTTCACCCCTTGTATTAGGAGTATCTTCCTTGTTCTTCCATGGTAACTTTACCTTCCTGTTTTAGGCTCTTCTTGATTTATTTCATGTTTTTAGTCTTCTAATTAAGCCTCATCCTTGTCATTTTTCCCTAGTGCAKTTTTTTGCTGTCATGATGTATTCATTCAGAATTAAAAACAAATTAACATGATGTTTGAGTCTTGATTTAGCTTTCACAAATGACATGGGGTTTTGCCATTTGTTTGGATTTCTTCTATTCTGCTTTAAAGCCTAATTTGGGTTGCTAGCTTCCCTGGGGTGTGGATTGCTCTTTCTTGTAAACTGAACAATTACATGATTACCTGCACAATATTTTTCAAGATTTTTTTGATGYAACTGCCAGTGCTGGACATTTCCATCAATTATAAAGGAGTGTCTGAGAATGAATAAATTATTTTAAAAACTTTTTGCAGTGCATTTGTGTAGCAAATCTGAGTTTAGATAATGCAGTCTTTCTGCCTGGTTTTTGAGATAGATGTCTGGAAGTGGAAACTTCTCTGATGATTGCAATTTCATGGTAGTAATAGAAATTGGTTTTGCATTATTATTTTCCAGGTGTCCTTTCAGAACCAATGAGTTCTCCAGTGCAAGAGGCAGATGTGTCACCTTATGCACAGTACAACAATGTGCCATTTCCCCAAGTCCAGCCTCAGATCTCATCGCCACCTTATTACCCCAACCTAGGCTTCTACCCTCYGCAGCACGAGGAATGGTATTCCCCTGGGATGTATGAACTCAGGAGGTTACCCTCAGAGACCTTTTTCACAAGAGAGACAGAGATAATGGATATTCCTGCAGCCAAAAAGCCTAGACTGGGTCACTCCACAGGAAGAGTGAAAGGAGAAGAGCTCTGTGTGGTCTGTGGTGACAAAGCCTCTGGGTACCACTACAATGCCCTCACTTGTGAAGGATGCAAAGGTAAGATGAAATCAATTGCAGAATGCAATTCAGATGATAGGAACAGAAGCTTTTTTTTTTTTTTTTTTTTTTTTTTTTTTTTTTTGGTTTTTTTTTTTTTTTTTTTTTTTTTTTTTTTTTATCCAAATCACTGAACATCTTAGAGATTTACATAGATCCTGTGTGCCCATATTTTCCCCAAGACAGACTGGCAGTGTCTTCTACCATTGTCCTGTGGTTACACAGTGTAGTAGCCAACCTAGGGCTCTTGAGGGCCATTAGTTTTGTGTAAACTAAAGTCAGCTTTTCTGTGGAGACTGTGGGAGCTGTTCATGCCATTCTCTGCCTGTGGGAGGATCACACTCATGGAAGCCTCTGCGAGCTGAGTGGTGGGCTGCCCTAGAAAATAGCTGTAAAACCAGCCCAAGAGCCTCCTGCAGAGTGCATTGAAGGGAAGTGAAAACTGTCAGCCCCCACCTGCAGGCTGCTCCCAGGGAATCTCTTCCCCCTAGCTCCCAAAGAATGTGATGGCTRTCTTCAGGTTTGTGAAAAGAAAGAATTCTTAGCACTATACTCTCTTGTAAGGATAGCTCCTATCCCTAGGGAGGGAGCTTCTTCAGGAAGAAGGTTTTTATCTGTAGGACAAATATCTTTCTTCTTAGAAGAAMATAATTCAGATGTTATTATCAGGATAAATGTGGTATAAAAAATCATTGCCATTATGGTAAACATGATTACCAGATATTTTAGTAGAGAAATTACATCAACATTATACCTAAAGAGGTATAATAGATCTGTGACAGGGCTGAGGTACATTACAGCCAGAAAAATAGTGCCCCAGTTTTTCATTCAGTTCTGTGAATAAATATTTCATTAACATTTCTGTTTTATGGGTAAAGACTGAAATATGGTCGCTACTGAATTACTAAAATCTCTTAATGTGAAATTCCCTGTCATAGAGAGTGGACCTTGAYCTAATTTGGGGCTTTTGATTTATCTATCTCAAAATCATCTGTGAGGAAGCAACAGACCACACAGGTCAAGCTCTCAAAACATGAATAGAGACAAGGCTCYCACAGTTTATCTCAATAATTCCAATAAATAAGAGATTAATTTCTTTCTGCTGGCTGAGGAACAGTCTCCAAGTCAAAAGCTGTTAATTAATTCATATGAATGCTGTCATTATAAACCAGATTGAAATCAGTTTTGAAGTAAATCTTCCAAATAAAGATGCATTTATTCTGTCAGTAAGATGTTCTTACTCTTTAGTAGCTTTAGTATTAAATGTCTTAGGAAATTCCAAAGACTTAAAATTACAAGCTTTGAAATTTGAATAGAATGTTTCTAGAGGAGAGGTTAAAGCTATCAGGTAAATATTCAGACTAAAACCCATGATGAAAGGAAATGTGCATCCACTTTCCTACTGATGCATTTGAATCACTCTATGTAACCATAATTTTACTGCTTTATTGGGATAATCTGTTTTATGTTTTTGTTCTGTTTCATGACTGCAACATCAATTACAAAGAATAGTACTCTTGATCAAACATAGTAAAAGTTGAATTATTTAAAGATGTGGATTCTGTTTCCACAATAAACTTTAGAGGTGACTAAAGTACCAGCTGATTCAGTAAAGAGATGTGCTGAGGACAGTAATTCTAACAAGGTAAAGCAGACATTATGTTTTTTAGTTCTCTGATCATTCTTGTTATCTGGTAATTTTTCACATGGGTATAGATTACTTCAAAGCATGGAGACCAAAATTAGGCTCATACTTAAGTTGTGCTCTTATCAGTGCAGAAGAAAAACTACCTCATGTGTCTGTGTCTTGCACCCCAGTATGAGATTATCCCTTCTTTTTGGCAGCAAGACTGTTAATTAATGCTCAGTTTGTGTCCAAAATAATATGCAGATCCCTTTCTTTAGGACTCGAGTTCAGCTTGCAGCACCCCAGCTCCATTGATGCAGTGCACGTTCTTATTCAAAGAAAGAAGCTTTCAATCCTCCATGATGAATATGTTGATTTTTTGAAAAAATTCCTTTCTTGGATAATGTAYTCAGGAGCACCTTCCATTCTTTTYTGTTTTCTTTCTTGGGAAGATGGAACAATATTAAGATCCTATCTACTGTCCCTCATGAGAATATTCATCTGAAGATATTGGCAGGAGTATACACTGATGTATATATAAATACATTACCCTCCCTTAACAAATATGTATGAACTGTTTTATTAATATTTTACATAACATTTACACCACAAGGAGCAATGCACTGTGTTTAAACTAGCTACTGCAGAGACCATTTCTAAAACAATCTTTGCAGGCAGACATCAAAGTCATTCTGGTACAGCCTCAGCCTTTGTAGTGGTGCTGGGTTTTAAGAGCCACTGCCAGATGCTACAGAACCAGTGTGACATACTGTTGTGCTCATTTAATAAAGCCACAGAATAAGTTCTGCTGAAACRAAAAAAACCCCATCTTTGAGGTGTCTTTCAAGCCAAASCATTCTATGACTCKATGAGGGTCATACACATTCCCTCCATGCAGACTTGCAGTAGGAGCTTTTACAGTACTCAAACCGCCCCTGTACTTCTCGAAGTGTCTCACACTGCACCAGAATTCTTGTTGCAAAGAAGGGTCYTGCTTTAATCCTCTCCTCACACTAACACCCACCACAGGGGCATGGGGCAAAGGAATGCTGGAGGATGCCTTTGTAGTCTGACAGAGAGGAGCAGGTGCTTTGTTAGCCATTGTGAACTTCGAAGATGTTTACATTTAAAACCCATCAGGATGCCAAACAGATATTTCCAAAGCTTTCATCTACACTTTTTACAACTGTTCTCCTTCAATTTTCATAATTTCTGTAAGAAAAAATCAGCATCAGTAACATTGGAGCAGCTCAACCATAATTAATCGTATTCATGACTATCTGAGAACAAAGCAAATTCAACATTCCCAGCCAATATGTGGTTTTTGTGATTTGGCAAGATCAGATGAAAGTTAGACTGTGCCAGAAAAACCTTCAGCTTTTGGGGTTACTAACCCTTTGTTAACATGCCATTCCCGACTTATCTTTAAATTTAAAACTCCTCCTGTTATAGAAACTCACATRTAAGTATTTCTGGCAGTTTCAGTTCATTTTGAATTAGAAGCAAATAATATATATAGGTGTTTCATTAATATMAAAAGCTAATTTCAAAATTAATTATGAAGAAGTCTGTTCAAGAAGACAGTGATTCAMGAGTAACTTCACAAGAAAAAAAAGAACCGCGAAGAAAGAGTAGGATTAAAACTACTTTCGCCCCCCGCAAAAAAAMCCCAAAAAAMCTGCACTTTTCATTTCACATAATTTCAGTTTTTCAAAATCTTTGTTTTCCAGAGAAAGTATTTGACTACTTGAATCTTGTTGGTTCCTGGCTTTTGTCCATGTTTTTGCATTATCTTTTACATTCTTGTGTGTCTTAACAAGATAATTTACTAAAGTTCTTTTTCTTTCTTTCTCCATGAAGAAGTAAATGCACACCTTGGGGATAGGTGGACTGATAAAGTCRTCAATGGGTCTTAGAATAAATATTAGTGCAGAGCTTTTCAGCTTTGACTAGTAATTAACATGTCATATAATAGAACATAAAATAAACGAATAAAATTATAAATTATATAAAGCAGATGCAATTGCCTTTAACGGACAGTGAGAACTTACAGCTTAAATCCAGGCCTTTTTTCATTTCCCTGAGCAGTAAATGGTAATGTATTAATAGCATGAGAGTGATGAATAAAAACAACGCCTGGGGCTTCTGGAGGTTCTAAATAATCTGCATTTCAAAAGAGACTGATGCCAGTCARCTGCATTTGTTTGAAAAGCAGCCAAAAAAACAGACAGCATGGAAAAGATTTCAAGCAGGAATTACTGAAGATTCAGAGAAATGCCAGATTTTTTTGTGACCAGGTAGTGGAATTRTTTTACTGGTTGCTACACACGGGTGCTTGGAAGAGATTAGGCAACTATAAAACCATGGGTCAAATTTGGGAAATWATCGTCTGACAATGTACAATTCTGCAAACACACAGAAAATACTTCAGATTCTCAACTGAATTTGCTCCAATATTTGAGTATGGGAGCCTGGATCTTATCTGGTCCCTCTTTCAAAGCATCAGAGTGCCATGTTGGAAAACAATAGCTTTATTGTGCCAGGCAGTGGTGATAAGAAAGCAAAAGCTTTTTTAATAGGTTTGGTTAATATAAATGCACATGGAGCCCTAGTTTGAAGTGCAGTATAAATCAGTGAGGTGACAGCAGGAGTTTATTTCAGAATAAGCTTTCCCAGGAGTTTATTTCAGAAACTTGCCCTCACATGGGGAGGAAGACTGATTCCCACTGTAGCAGATGCTGAATAGTCTCTGTCCTATGAAGGGCAATGTAAGAAGATTGAAATGGCAGAGTGAGCAATACTAAAAATTCAGGAAACTTTGACAGCAAAGGTTCTGTTGCTTTGTGATGACTCTTATTTAATCACATTTAGTATCTTGCGCACCCCATGTTTTTCCCACAGTGCCACTATCACAGATGTGCTAGGGAGCAGCCAAACAGGAGATTTGGACAGACTGAAGGTCCTCTCAATTTCTTGTATCAGTTGCAGTTTGCAGTGATAGCTRTGCAGTTTCTGAGTGAATCCAGTGATGATTCCAGTAGAACTGCCTGTGCAGGTGAAATTAGGTGACAACTCATCAAGTGGACTAAACTTAGTGAATAAGGCTGGAATATCTTGTAAACAGGTGTGGAGGCCACGTGCACAATAGGCAGATACAACGCAGCTTCCTTATTAAATTTGGAGGTGGTGAGCAGACYAGTATGTGGAGCTTCTGCTGCTCCCAGGAGCTGGGGAAGGATGATGAGTTACTCAGCTCTCTTTCTGTACATTCTGTACCTCAAGAGACTTAACAGACTCATATTGTTTTCAGTGGCTATTTGTATGGTATCACCCTACGGCTCTAGTGATGGTGCTTAGCCTGCTACTGGCAGATTTCAGATTTTGGGCTGAATTTTCCCAACATTCACAATTCCAGGACTTTACCTTGGACTAATGCCTAGTGTTTGGGTTCATTTATTAAATTATATKACTTGGAAAAAGTTGTCAGTACAAGTGTCAAGAATGTAGTCATCCAGGCACAGAAGAAACTGATGATCTGGCAGAACACGTGTCATTCAGAAAGTYCAGAGCAGATGGAGGTGCTCTTCAACTTGACAACTTTGCTTCTGAGTGCTCTCTTTCATCTACATCACTGTTGTTTTGTGCAGGGTTCTTCAGAAGAAGCATCACAAAAAACGCAGTGTACAAGTGTAAAAATGGAGGCAACTGTGAGATGGACATGTACATGAGGAGAAAATGCCAGGAGTGCCGTCTGAGGAAATGCAARCAAATGGGCATGTTGGCTGAATGTATGTATACAGGTATTTGCATCATCTGGTCAGGGTGTGCACTAAATACTGTATTTGCTTGAGTAGTCTGGTTTTCATAATAAAACTATAGAAAATACCATTTGGCAGGTGGAAGGTGTATTAAAGAAGATGCCATGCCTGTGCATCAAACCCTGTTGAAAAAGACAAATGCACTTTTTTAAGCAATAGGATTTCATGGGTGGGCAGAAATGAGATGGCATAGGAGCTGAGCAAACGGTGAGGAAAGCTCTGTCCTGCACTGGGTGACAGCTATTATGCTGCTTGAGTGGGAAGGAGAAGCAGTCAGGGGAAGTGAGTCTGTGGGAGACTCCCCAGGAGTYAGGGATTTGCAGTGTTATGAAAGACAGAGAAGGAAAATCCTGGTGCTTTCCTTTCCTACTCTTTCTGGGGCTCCCCTTGCCAAGTTCTTGCTAGCCAAGTCCAAGTTTTGGCACATGAACAATGCCATTTTCAAGCGAAGAGCAGGAGTGCTGCTAGCAGGAAGTTTCTGTGGACTCGCCAAGTGTATATTCCCAGACCTCACCCAGCAATCAGGCAAAGCCTGGTGAGGGCTAGCCCTTTTTTATTGTCTCGTTAGCTTTTCTCATGGCACCATAGAGTTTCCTGTCTTACATGTAGGCACATAGGTAGAACTCTCAGACACACAGGTCTCCAGAAATGAACGTGATGGATTTTAATAATGTTGCATATTAAAACAGTCATTCTATCCAGACTGACAGTTTATAAATTTTATTGAGCTTCAAACTGGATAACTTAGAACAATGAGGATATTGGAGTGCAATTTTGAACATGTTTAAAGCTCCTCTTTGAGTTATTACACTATTTTTGTGAGTTTGTTCCTGAGAACTCTCTATAAACATCTGATCTTTTACCTTCCATGAATAGGATTACAAATTATTTTTCTTGATGGCTCCAATCACTTTAGCATGCATGTATGTGTGARACCAATTTAAGTTCATACAGGAAATTAATCTACTTGGATTTTTTAATATATTTCTATCCTTCAATCTGATCAGAAGATGCTATAGTAACTGTTGGTTATATGAGAAACAATAAGCTCCACCAATATTTCGAAGGTGTTGCCAGCATAATGTAATTAATCTTCTGCAAATTGAACAGGCTGCAAAGATCCTGAGATATGACATGTTCTCGTGAAACACATAAATATATGAGCAGACACTGCTCTCATGGAAGAACTCAATGCGTCCTGCTCCCTGTGGAGCTGATCCCTGATCCATTGCTTCAAAATTTTGAGGATTCAAAATAGCTTGAGTCACTCAGTGCAGAAAAAACTCGACAACTCACTGCTGACAAAAAAACAGGTCAGCGTAAATAATACTGACTGGGGCCACATGAAACTTTTATAGGGGCCTATCATTTTCTCACACTGGCATAAAGGAAATAAAAGCCAGTGGGTGCCGCTGCCATTTGACTCTCTCTCTGCAATGGAAACTCAGGGTATCTTGTGTTGCTCATGACTTAACCATAAGTGTGCTCTAATGCACCGCAATGAGGATGTTTGGCAAGGCACTATTTAATGGCTTTAAAGTAGGAGTGTGTAGTATAATTGCTTTTAGTTAAAGGCAATCTAGGACAGTAAAACATGAAACTTCTAGTAGTACAGGGCATTTATTTGAAAAAATATGGCTAGGAAATAAAAAGTTACCTTGAACTTTGTTTCACTTACTCATTTTGTAGGATTGTAATTGCAAGCTGTGTGGTTTCTTATTCCCCCGAACAAGGAGRTAGAGTATTATAAATATTTATGGCACAGCTATTCAACAGTCTCCTGCCCTTTATACGCAACCTACAGACAGACCAAAATTACTGCCCATCAGTTTCAGTCATTTGCTGTCATTTTGGTCTAAACTGCAAGTTTCTTGGGTGAAATGTCTACTTAGGGAAGACCCAGGTTCTGCCCCTTTTCCTGSAATTTAATACCCATTGAAACCTAGCTACCTCTGAGATAAAAAGTGAAGTCCTGTCTCACACATAAGTTTTTCAGCTGAGTTAAATGGAGCCAGAATGAGCTATCAAAGTAAAACTCAGCAGCATGACAAAAATCTGTCTTAATGCTTAAGACAAATGTAAAGCAAATTTTCCATAGGAAGGTAATAGACCAGATCCTAAGCTGGTGGAAAACAGCACAAGTCCATTAACAGCACCAAAGGATTCACTGAATAATTTAGAGAAAGAAATCTATGGTGCTGTGTGGCACCGCAAATTACATGGCTTGATACCAATTATTATCTCCATCATTCCTATTCCCTCCTTTCAAGGTATTATTCATGGGTCTTATTTTAATCATGTAAATTTCCTCTTCTCTCAGCAGTTCAGGTAGGTTATTTTATATAGGGCTTAAACAGGAAATTAAAAACATTCACAGCGAGATTCAGTGGTGGTTTCATGGTATCTGCCTCCACATCATATATTCACTGAATGAGCCTCTTTTCCTGCTCTGCATTTTTAAAAATTAAGAATGGGGAGAATACTTGAGTGAAGGAAAGAGAGAAAGA